TCTCATTTATCCTAGGCAAGCACTCTGCCAACTGAGCTACATTTCCAGTCCATTTTTTATTTTATTCTTTTGTTTGTGAGACAGTCTTACACTGTAGCCCAGGCTGGCCTCAAATTCACATTAATCCCCTTTGGCTCTGCCTCCCAACTACTGGGACTGTACATTCTGATTATTCAACCCCCAGGGGGCCTGAATAGATGGCTCAGCAGTTATGAGCACTTGCTACTCTTGCAGAAGACTAGTTCAGTTCCCAGCTCCCACACGGAGTAGCTCATAACCGTTTATAGCTCAAGTTCAGAGATCCCAGTGCCATCTTCTGGCCCCCGTAGGTACCTGGACACAGATGGTGTACACAGACATACAAGCAGGCATACACGCGTGTGAACGCATACACACACACACACACACACACACACACACACACACACACACGCAAAGTCTAACTTTGGGCTGGTGGTGTAGCTCGAGAGTCCACCCTACCCTGGTATGTATGAGATCTAAAATAACTTGTGGGATTTTTCAATATATGCAATTCTGTAACTTTCTTTTTTGGCTCTAGTGGGTCTCAAATCCTGGGTTTCGTGCGTATTAGGCAAGTGTTCTACTCCTGGGCAATGTTCCCAGCCCTTTATTGACTTGATTTCTGAACTGACTCTGCAGCTCAGGCAGGCCTAGGATGTGCCATCTCCTCCCTTTAGCCTTCCGGGTAGCTGGGATAACGGGTCTGGCCGCCAGGCCAAGCTCCCTCATTTCCTTCCCTGGTTTACAAGATACCTTGGAGACCTTCTCATATCAGTACATATTTTTCTACTTTTTAAACATGTGGTAAAGGTTCTATCATATAAATTTACCATCTCAAACGTTCTTTTTTATTGTGGTAAAGTATATTTAACATATAGTTACCATTTTTTGACTTCCGTTTTTTCTGGTGCTAAGGTTTGAACCCAGGCTCTCTTTGTGAGACAGGGTCTCATGTAGCACCAGCGTGGCTCCAACTCACTGTGGAGCTGAAAATGACCTGAACTCCTGATCCTCCTGCTTCTGTTTCCCAGGTGCTGGGACAGTAGGTGGTAACACCACATCGGCTTAAATCTGCTCCTTCTGTGTGACACGCACAGTCTGTCTCCAAAGCCCTTCCATGCTCCAAACTGAAGCTCTGCCCCCACGCCCACTGAACAGTCAGCCCTGGCTCCCTCCGCCCCGCCAGTACCTCTACTCCCGGTCTTAGGAATCTGACGACTCTAGGATTCTCAGATAAATGGAACTTTACAATGTTTACCCTCACGTATCTGGGTTCCTCCCCATGGCATGATGTTTTCAAGGCCCATCCATGCTGTAGTGTTATCAGCACTTCAATCCTCCAGGTTAAACAACTGTCCCATGACACACACACACACACACATCTGGCCTTGTATATCCATCCACCATCACTCAACATTTGGGTTGTTCTGTCTCTGGGCTACTGTGAATGATGTTATGAACATGGAGGCTTGATCATCTCTGTGTCCCTGCTTACGGTTTTTTGGGATATACTGAGAACTGGAACTGCCGGGTGATGCAGTAACTCTGTCCTTAGGGGTTCTGAGAAATGTCACATGACCTTATTCTTTCTAACTTCTTCAGAGTATTCCGTAGTCACTCAAAAGCTTTTGTTTTATTTGTTTTGTTTTCTTTTTGGTGCTAGGGATTGACCCCAGAGCCTCCCATGTGCCAGGCACAGACTCTACCACTGGGCTGGATCCCTGGTCCCTCTGTTTAGTGATCCAAAACAGTCTCGTAAACTGCTACTATTTGCATCCTGATATCATAGAGCATCGTTTCTCAACATGTGGGTCATGACCCCTTTGGGGTTAAATGACCCTTTCATAGCGATTACCTAAGTCCATCAGAAGACACAGATATTTACATTATGATTCATAACAGTAGCAAAATTATAGTTATGAAGTAGCAACAAAAATAATTTTATGGTTGGGGTCCCACCATGAGGAACTGTATTAAAGGGTCTCAGCATGGGGAAGGCTGAGAACCCCTGTCCTAGAGGAAGAAGCTAAGACTCAGAGAGCGGAAGTGGCTTCAGTCACATCTTTGTCAAGGAAAGCCTGGCACAAACTCAACACGCTGAAGCCGAGGGCCTCGTTTCTCTGTGTGTGCATGAAGAACGGGCTGTGTTTTAAGGGTACTCTGTAACGCCCTTCTTTTCACCATCAGACATGGGAGCAACAAGACTGTGTGCAGATGGCACCCAGTGCCGTAGGCTGCCCACGATGGGCTCAAAGCGGGGAAATCTCCCACAGAGCCCTCAGGGCAGATCCTCCCCTCTCCGCCCTGGGGGCCACTGGCACATGGCAACAATTCGCCCAGTGTGAAGGGCAGCCAAAGGACTGCACTGCCCATGGGACCGTGATGTCTCATTCTGGACTGCTGGCATGCAGGCCCTCTTGGGAAGCAGGTGGGTGCCCCAGAAAATGTACAGCCTGGGATGCCTAGTGAGCAGCCAACCAGCTGAGGGCCAGCTGTGCCTTCTGGGGCCAGAGGCCACCTAGTGTTTGGACACACACTCCCTCTGGAATCAGGAAGTTTCTAGGCTTACATCACCCGGGCTGATGGTTTTCCACTGGCATTCTGCAGAGTCCCGGCAGTCTGCCTGACCTTGAGAACCCACCTCCCTCTTCCAGAAGGAAGCTATTTGCTCAGCCATGAAACGGATCACAGCTTTGCTGGACCTTTGCAAAGATTTCTGAGATAAACTGTCCAGCCTAACTCACAGCTGGAGGAGGGTACAGCAGGAGGAGAGGCTGACATCAACCAGGATGGGGGACGTGGGGTCTGGAGTCACATTCAGAGACAAAAGTAGGAGACCCTGGCCTAGCATCCTTCTCAAACCAAGTGGCGATAGCACACTAGTCCCTAAAGCACGTCCACACAAGCTAGTCAGTAGCCCGCTCAGTGAGCAGGGAACAACTGCCCAACCTTACAGATGAGGGAACTGAGGCACAGGGGTTCCCTCATCTATATGCTGGGCACTGATGAACACACCTTCAATAATCCCAGAGAGTAATTAATCCCAGTAAGTGAACCTTGCTTACCACTCTACTCTTTTTTTTTTTTTTGAGATAGGGTTTCTCTGTGTAGTTTTGGTGCCTGTCCCGGATCTCCCTCTATA